CCACCCACACAGCCAACAAGTTTCTCCTCACGTTGAGTTGGAACCTCCTGAGCTCCAGCTTGCACCCATTGCCCCTTGTCCTGTCACTGGACATCCCTGAGCAGAGCCTGGCTCTGTCCTCCTGACACCCCCCGTTTCCATATTTATAACCAGGAGTGAGGTCACCCCTCAGGCTCCTCTTCTCCAGCTGCAGAGCCCCAGCTCCTTCAGCCTTTCCTCCCCAGGGAGATGTTCTACTCCGTCCGTCATCTTTGTGGACTCTTGTGTAGGTTCCCTTCAGGTATTGGAAGGCAGCTATTAGGTCCCTCCGAAGTCTTCTCTTCCCCAGGCTGAACAAGCCCAGCTCCCTCAGCCTGTCCTCGCAGCAGACCTGCTCCAGCCCCTGGGTCAGCTTTGTGGCCTCCTCTGGACTCGTTCCAACAGATCCAAGTCCCTCTTATGGTGGGGGCACCAGAACTGGACGCAGGATTTGAGGTGGGGTCTCACAAGAGCAGAGTAAAGGGGGAGAATCCCCTCTCTTGACCTGCTGGCTGTGCTTCTCTTGATCCATCCCAGGATGGGGTGGGGCTGCATGAGCGCCCTGCCGGCTCTTGTTGAGAACCAATGTCATAATTTGTAATAGTAGAATATGAGTGCCAGACAGTGATTTGTTCTGTTCGAGGTTCAAATGCTCGTGTTAGTTCCTTGATTTTGTAGTTTCTCCTCTATTTTCTAGAAATGTTTTTCAAATAAGAGACTTTCTTTCAAATTATTTTTGGAATAAGTATTATTTTGGGTAATTATTTCAAACGGAGTCACTCATTCTTACCTTTCTTATCCTTTTGGAAATACTTACCAACTTGGATATTTAGATGGCATTGAAATAATCTCCAAATTGTGTTCCTTTTTATAATGCCTGACTTCAGACAATCTGACAAATTGTTTGCCATAGGAAACGGACTCAGGGTCTTCCACTCATGGCAAGGTGGCTTACACGTAGATGCCAATTCCCAAATGCCTTTGACAGTGATAGGCATTATGGATGAAAATCATTTTCTTACATGAGACTTAATGCACGTTTCTACCTCTCATTCCAGCAATCAATTCATGTTTGAAGCCAAGTGCTGTGGAAACAAATAATTTACCATATGCAGTATCTCGGCGTCACCTGATTGTGCTTTTCAGCCCTGCGTATTTTTTCACCTGTAATTACCTGTCTTTCCAGCCTGCTAAGAAAATACTCCTTCAGCTTGACACCTTTAAATTGCACTTTTGTTCAGTAGTTTGCAGTGTGTTGGTACTTCATAATGGGTGTTTATTGTTAATATTAGACATAGCAAAATAACTAATTATGGTTATGCCACTGTGCTGGAAAACAAAAAATGCTACAATCCAAGTCTATTCTGAATTTCTGTTGCTGAAAGCGCTCTTGTAAGTTCCAAGCAAGAAGGAGACGCTTCCCTGCTCTTGGTGGAGCCAAAGAAGTGTGGTCCCAGTGTTCAGCAGTAGCTAACGGGATGAAAATGCTCCTTAGCAACAGAAGTTCGTGAAATAAAAGATTTTCATGGGGCTTAAATTAGGGTAATAGTATCTGTCGAGTTTAAAAACGTGGAAATAAATTCTCTGTTGTAGGCAGGGCAAATATAAAAGCTCAAAAATACCTTCTAGGTCGAGATGGAGAAAATAGTTCCTCTGGTGACTGCTTTTTCGCCCCTCCTGTGAGTCCTGTTGTGGTCTGATCCCTCCTGGTCTTGCACACACTGCTTGCCTGGCACGTGTCAGCCACAGAGCACATGTAGAACACTCACAGGAGAATAAGGCTACACAAGACACAGCTAAAAATCTGGAACTTGTGTAAAACAACGAGAGTAATATCTTTTTTCGCTGATGTTTCGTACAGGTTTGTAATTGGACGAGAGAAACCGGGACAAGTGAGCGAGGTTGCGCAGCTGATCAGCCAAACCCTGGAACAAGAACGACGCCAGAGAGAGCTGCTGGAGCAGCATTATGCGCAGTACGATGCAGATGATGATGAGGTAACAGACTGTCTAGCATTTCACTGTTCGGTGATGTTAACGACTTGGTTTCTATCCCTGATTCTTTCTTTTCAGTTGTCACGTAGAGGTCAGGTTCTGGGCATCTCCATTACCTCTGCTGTGATGGAAGCTGTGATCTAATGCACATTAGACACAGTTCAAAGACATTTTTGGTCACCACAAGCACTTCTGCTCCATTTACTGTCACTTTACTCTCACTTTAAACGAGATTTGAAGGGGGTAAGGGATAAAACCAGGCTCACTAAAGATAAGCCTGAGGGCAGCAAGCCCGGGGTTGATGGACAGTGTGCTAGCAAGGTTCTTTGGTTGAACATCTCAGAGGAGGTAGGAGGTGGAGATCCATGCAGCAGCGAAGGCACAAGGGTTATGATACGTTAGAAGCCATGGAAGAAGCTGAGAATGGGCACTTAGGAATTAAGGCTTTTCCCCCACCAGAAGGGATCAATAACCCAACTGAAGTGCACGCAGCATGGGCAACGAACGGGAGGAGCTGCAAGCCATTGTACAGCAGGAGAACTGTGACATCGTTGCCATCATGGAAAGACGGTGACACTTTGATCACAACCCCGTGCAATGCTAAAGGCGTGGTGAAGCGTGGCTGGAAAGCTGCCTGGTAGAAGAGGACCTGGAAGTGGTGTTGGTCAGCAGCCGGGTGAACATGAGCCAGCAGTGTGCCCCGGTGGCCAAGAAGGCCAACGGCATCCTGGCCTGGGTCAGGAGTAGTGTGGCCAGCAGGAGCAGGGGAGGGGTGGTGCTCCGGTCCTGGGCATTGCGGAGGCTGCACCTTGAATCCTGTGTTCATTTTTGAGCCCCTCACTTTAAGAAAGACATGGAGGTGCTGGAGCAGGTCCAGAGAAGGGCAATGAAGCTGGTGAAGGGTCTGGAGAACGAGTCTCATGAGGAGTGACTGAGGGTTCTGGGACTGTTTAGCCTGGAGAGGAGGAGGCTGAGGGGAGACCTCTTCACTCTCTACCTGAAAGGAGGATGCAGTCAGGTGGGGTCAGTCTGCGCTTCCCTGTAACAAGTGATAGGGCAAGAGGAAACAGCCTCAGGTTACACCAGGTGAGGTTTAGCTTGGATATTGGGACAAATTTCTTCACCAAAAGGGTTATCAAGCATTGGAAGAGGCTGCCTGAGCCACCACCCCTGCAGGTATTTAAAAGTTGTGCAGATGTCGTGCTTAGGGACATGCTTTAGTGGTGGGCTTGGCAGTGCTAGGTTCATGGTTTACCTGATGAACTCAGAGGTCTTTTCCAACCTAATCCATTCTATGATTCTAAATACAAGAATTGCCTGCTTTAAGCTCTCTTTGCTCTGTGAGGGCAGATGTGTCTGGGTTTGTGTTTCTGTATGCCAGGCAGAACTGCCAGAGCCTGACGTTCAGGAATATTTGGATTGCCCAGTGTGAGGAGTTTCCTGCTG